TTGCAAATGATACCAAGCTGGGAGGGGTTGCGACTGCTCTGGAGGATAGGGTCATAATTCAAAATGATCTGGACAAACTGGAGAAATGGTCGGAGGTAAACAGGATGAAGTTTAATAAAGACAAATGCAAAGTGCTCCACTTTGGAAGGAACAATCAGTTTCACACATACAGAACGGAAAGCGACTGTCTAGGAAGGAGTACGGCAGAAAGGGATCTAGGGGTTATAGTGGACCACAAGCTGAATTTGAGTCAGTTGTGAGCAAGACACGAGAAGTCATACTTCCGCTCTACTCCATGCTGGTTAGGCCTCCGTTGGAGTATTGTGTTCAGTTCTGGGCACTGCATTTCAAGAAAGATGTGGAGAAATTGGAGAGGGTCCAGAGAAGAGCAACAAGAATGATTAAAGATCTAGAGAACATGACCTATGAAGGAAGGCTGAAAGAATTGGGTTTGTTTAGTTTAGAAAAGAGAAGGCTGAGGGGGGACGCATTTCAAGAAAGATATGGAGAAATTGGAGAGGGTCCAGAGAAGAGCAACAAGAATGATTAAAGATCTAGAGAACATGACCTATGAAGGAAGGCTGAAAGAATTGGGTTTGTTTAGTTTAGAAAAGAGAAGGCTGAGGGGGGACATGATAGCCGTTTTCAGGTATCTAAAAGGGTGTCATGAGGAGGGAGAAAACTTGTTCATCTTGGCTTCTGGGGATAGAACAAGAAGCAATGGGCTTAAACTGCAGCAAGGGAGGGTTAGGTTGGACATTAGGAAAAAGTTCCTAACTGTCAGGGTAGTCAGACACTGGAATAAATTGCCCAGGGAGGTTGTGGAATCTCCATCTGTGGATATATTAAAGAGTAGGTTAGATAAATGTCTATCAGGGATGGTCTAGACAGTATTTGGTCCTGCCATGAGGGCAGGGGACTGGACTCAATGACCTTTCAAGGTCCCTTCCAGTCCTAGTATTCTATGATTCTGTGCAGAGAAGGCAACGCAGCTGGGCATGGGGAGAAGAGACAATCCTGGGGAGAGGAGAAGGGGGGTTTCTGGTCAGACTGGGTCTTGCTCTAGAGTCGTGCCAAGCCAATCATCAAGGCATGAGCATGGCTGGTGTCGGTCCGCGGACCGGCAGTTGAGAACCACTAATCTAGTTCATTTAAAAGTGACAGTCTGAAAGATCTATGAGCAGAACCTGTGAAAGAGTCATTCCAGTGACAACGAAGCCCTTTAATCAACATTTGCTAACCCCAGGTATATGCTGTCTGTTTCTGAACTTACTGGTTTCTGTTATTTCCACTCCAGTTCATCTGATGAAGTGGATTTTACCTACAAAAAATCATGATTCTATATATTTTGGTTAGTTTCTAAGGTGCCACAGGACTACTTGTTTTTTAAATTTACTGTGTTACTCGACAGGGCCTTATTCTTAATGCAAATTTTAAACTATTTCATTAGTGTGTTTCTACAGATTATAAAAATCACATCTCTAAAAAAAATGACACCTCTCCCCCCAGGCTGTCATCGGGGATGGCCCTGTACATCCTAAGTTATTTCCAGATTACTGTAAATCTCTGGATTTCCCCCGTACCTTTAGAAGTCATCTTCACCACTGCCACCTGGTCCCTGGACCTTGGAGCTGCCTCATGGCTCAGCGAAGGGCCTACCATGCCATCAGTCTCTACATCTACCACAGAGGAATTGCCTAGAGGGGAGAAGATGCAAAAGAAAATTTCAAAGAGCAAGCTGCGTCTAGACTGGCATGATTTTGCGCAAATACTTTTAACAGAAAAGTTATACTGGCATGTGCCTTTGCGCAAAAGATTTTAGCCACCGGGCTTTCTTGCGCAAGAAATGAACTTGGCTGTCTACACTAGCCCTCTTACGCAAGAATACTTGCACAAGAGGGCTTATCCCTGAGTGGGAGCATCAGAGTATTTGCGCAAGAACCACTGATTTTGTACAGTACAAAGTCAGTGTTCTTGCGCAAATACTCGTGGCCAGTCTAGACAGGCGTCAAGTTTTTGCGCAAAAGCAAGTGCTTTTGCACAAAATCTTGCCAGTCTAGACGCATCCTAGGGCTGTGTCTAGACTGCATCCCTTTTCCATAAAAGGGATGCAAATTAGACATATCGCAATTGCAAATGAAGTGGGGATTTAAATCCCCCCCACTTCATTAGTATAAAAATGGCTGCCATTTGCATAAACATGGCTGCCGCTTTTTTCCGGCTCGGAGCTTCGCCGGAAAAAAGCGCCAGTCTAGACGCAGATCTTTCGGAAAATAAAGCCTTTTCCGAAAGATCCCTTATCCCTCAAGCTCCAAGCCGGAAAAAAGCGGCAGCCATTTTTATGCTAATGAAGCGGGGGGGATTTAAATCCCCACTTCATTTGCAATTGCGATATGTCTAATTTGCATCCCTTTTATGGAAAAGGGATGCAGTCTAGACCCAGCCCTAGGGTGCGTCTAGACTGGCAAGATTTTGTGCAAAAGCACCTGCAGTCTAGACACAGCCTAGAGGTATTAGGCTTGAAGGTGGGAATGGCTACCAGCAGGTAGGTCTTTGATTGACAGATAATTGCAAACCTGCTTAAAAGTTGATGGATTGTGTCACTCTTCCCTCAGGGTGAACAGAAGAAGCGGTTAAGCCCCCTTTATGCAGTATAAGCCACCACCCAAGTAAGTGCCACATCACAGTTCCCACCATTGTTTTCCTCCCAGTTTCACCTCAGGCCTCTTGCTTTCACCTTTGGGTAGGTTCTGCAGGTCACTCCTTCAAGATTGGAGATATAAGCTCAACTTTGGTGCAAGTATCCCAACCTCTGCTGTCTTTGGGGCTAAGACAGGGTTAACCAGCCACCAACCAGCTCCTGAACAGCAAAGTGCATTCAAAATACGTCTTCCCCTACTATAAACAGTTATTCATCACTTCTACCTATGGGCTTCAGTTCTCACCCATCACCTCTTGGGCAAAGACCTATGGTGCTCAACCTTCTCATTAGCGTTCTCTTTAGCTTGCACAGTTCTGTCTTTCAACAGGCCCTCAGTGAGCCAGGCTGCCTAAGAGCCAGTTGCTGGATTTTGCTGTCTCCCAAAGGGCTCTCACTGGCAGCTGTGCATTACTAGAGCTGTCCTGTCCAGAGGAGAGTTTGGGGTAGCTGCCCCAGGCCCCACGCTTTGGGGGGCCCCCAGCCACTGCCTCAACTGTCCTATGAATGGAACAGTCTCCCATATTGATGTTAGCCATGGGGCCCAGCAGGGCCATCCTTACCCATATGCAGAACACACAGCAGCATAGGGCACCTGAAAAGTTGGGGCACCACTAGATCTTAGGGTCCACCCAGCTGCCTCTTCCTTATCCCTGTTCTGTGAAAAATTCTGCCAGAGCTATTAGCAAAACCTATGAAAGAGCTTTTAAGGGGTACTGAAGCTATTTAACAGGCATTTGCCAGGAATATACTGTCCACTTCTGAATTTACTGTGTTTGTCAACAGGAGCTTAGCTTAAAATATTTCATTAGTGTTGCTGAAGATCATAAAATTGCACGCACACCCCTCGGCTGCCATTGGGCATAGTGGCACCAGTTTAATTGTCCTGCATAGGGCCCCATCAATCCCAAGAATGGCCCTGGGGCCCAGGGCCGGCAGCAGGGGTCAGGCCCCCCTGCATTCACCACAGCGATGAGAGTCATGAGAAACAGAGCAATGCAGCAGTCTCCTCCATCATCTCCCAGCCATGTTGCTCTGTTTTGTTGCTGTGGCTGGAAGTAGAGCCGGCCAGCTCCCGAGTGATGCAGCTTGCAGGAGCAGGCTGGGACAGGGGCACTCTACTTCCTCCCACTGCAGCAAAATAGAACAACCCAGCTGGGAGATGGGCAGTGGAGTGGAGAAGGCTGCTGCATGGCTCCAATTCCCACAGATCTTGCCACTGCAGTGAGTGTACTGACACCTGCTGCAGCCCCCTGCCCTTGTAATCTCCTGCTGCATCTCTCAGTGGAGGGGCAGAGCAGGGGTGTGAAGAGGCGAGGTGGGATGGAGCATGGGTGGGGCTTGGAGAAGGGACATGATTGGGCGGAGCAGGGGTGGGGCCTAGAGAAGAGGGGGTTGCTCCTTGCCCCACACACCCCTAGGGATGTCCCTGCACATACCACTGGGCTGTACTTAACGTGTAGCCCGTAGGGCTAGCTTGTCTTCACTCACCACTTTAGAGATCAATGTTCTGGCGTTAGCATTTGATTTAAGGGTCTGCACTAGACCTGCTAAGTCTGAGGGCCTCCCACAGTGGGGATGGCACCAAGCTAGGTGTCTTGTGTAGACCTGGCCTTAAATTCTGCTTTGCATTGTATTCAGCAG